GAATAGCCATCGTGGTTACCGGGAAGTGGATAATCTCGGAGGCAATTGGCGTTTCTCAGAGCTTGGTCTCCGGCTTTAGCCCGATTCCGAGAGTCTGCAAGTGTCAATAGCAGGCCTGGTAGAGCATCTCAGCGCATTACAACGCTAAGGAGGAGAGAAATATTGTCGTTGCTACAAGACGGAACCCTTTCCATAGTGCACGCTAGATCCAAAATGAAGTGCAAGATGTTTTGGCAAGGCCTTCATCAAACAAACGATTGTGAGAAGTTGGCCCCACATCGTATTTCCCCTTGAGACGACCTGCAGCAACTGCCCGCCATCATCAACTTAGGAGAATATGGTGCAGCGAGCGTCTAGAAGAGGACACCAATTGGAATGCTGCTATGTTTATTGATGAGTCGCACTGTCTGAATAGTGATAGCAGGCGCCGAAGAATCTACAGGGGAGGCGTACAATGCCCAAGTTCGTCTCGCTTCAGTGCAGTTCGGAGGACGTGATGTAATGGTCTGGGATTTACACTGGAGGCCGTAGTAGACTCCATAGTGTTGAAGTCTAACCGCAGTCCGTTATGTCCAAAAATTTATCGAGGAATAAATACATCACCATCGGCAGCCAGTTCACATCTATGGAGACAAATTCCTTATGAAATTAGTGACAATCTTATTAACAGAATGCCTAACGGGTCCACAGAGGTTTTAGCTAACAGAGGTCATTATATACGGTATTAATTGTTTAAAAAAAATTATGTCAAATAAACAAAATTACGGAATAAAAACCTTTTTTAATTTTTTTTGTAACGAAGGTTTGCAACAGGTCATATAAACCCTGAAGGTGCCGGTGTTTTAAAGAAAAAACCCATTTGTATGTCGGGTTCGAATGAAGGGCCGCTGGATTCGAACCTGGGACCTTTACCTAATACGTCCGTTGCGGTCACTAACGAAAAAAAAAATTCAAAATCACTTAATTAAATTTCACTTCCGAAAAACTTTATTAATTTATAATAAGTTTTAATGAAATTTCTAATAAAAATAAAATAAAAATGCTCGGGAAAGTAAATACTACAAAATTTGCAATATCCCTATTTATTTTTGAGCAGCTTAAATTTACTGAGTTCACAACGTTTGTAAACATTTACGACGCCTCGGTGTTTTATTAACAACCTCCTTTTTATCATTTACATTCAGTTTAGTTGTAAAAATCATAAACAATTGTCCAACGAGTGTGAAAATGAAAGGTTGTTGTAACGCACCTTTTCAGAATATAGAAACGACTGAAATCGAGGCACTTCATCGTTGTTATTTCATAAATTATTGGACTATTTTATTCTAACTTTTTTAAGTTAGTCTATACATTTGTGTAATCTTTGATACTGCGAAGTACCATGTCCTACGTATAAACGGAGGCAGTGAATGAAAATCCAAAATGCTGCTTGAAATTGTTTTTCAAAAGGAACGGCAACGCACATAACAGAAGATCTGAGTTAAACCTTAGTGTTATGTAATCCCGATGTGGAGTGACTAAGTTCTTAATTTTATGTAGGACAATATTATAAAAGCAAGCGGTAAAGAAGTCCTTTACGGTAAACAGAATTCTTATCACACCATTTCCATGATTGCCATTAGATTTTCTTCAAATGTAATTTTTTATTTTATTTTGGCAATAAACCTTTATCAAACATGCCGCGTGCCGGCTTTTTACAATTATTTATTCCTTAGGAAATTTCCACTGTCTTACGTGGATTTAATTCGAAAAGTCGATATCCGGCCGAATTAAATGTTCTTCTTCTTTTGTGCTCATCGACGGCGTTAGGAAATTTTCCGCAACGCGCCGCGCGTTTGACGAAGCTTTTCCCTTTATCTCGGTAATCTCTGTTTTCGTATTGTGATTGCTCTCGGGCTATTAAATCTTTTTACGGCGGCCCTTTGTGCCATTATAATTACCAATTGTGAAAGAAAACACAATTTCAGGATTAATGCCGGTTCAACGAGATATGGTGGATGTTTAACTTATTTTTTATTGAGGAATTTTCATTTTAATTTTTACATTTTTACAATTTAACTAGGTACATCGCACGACACGATTTTAAAAACGTTAAAATAGGAATGTTTTTACAACAGATAACAAATATAAGCGATATTTTTGATTTTATAACATTATGTACTAATATAAATATTGAAATTAAACAAACGCAAAAATATTGTTTTTGTTGTAAACAGAAAACCCTCATGGAAACGGGGTGTAGGAGGAACGTCGATAAAACGCCTAACTCAGAAACACACAAACACACTCCCACCGCCGGTGTACAAATATGATTTGTTGAATTTTCCAAAAAATTTCCGACCATCGTTAACCATCTGGCAATTTTTATGAGGACCACGTGCGTCCGACACCGCCTCGGCCAATATTATTTCAGCACCAATTTGACCTTAAATAAAAAGATTAAATTAAATTATCCCCCACTCGACCCGAACCCCGATACTTGCCAAGCTGACAAAAATAATATTGTCCTGTATTGCCAATGGAAGCTCCACCTATCGGTCGGTTGGTAGACAATTTAAAATATCAACTACCAGACGGTTTTTTTAATCGTCTATTGGGTCATTTTTTTTTGGCACAATTTAAAAATCCGAAAAATTTGGATTTTACATTGTCGAAACAGTGTGCACATTATCTAAGAAAACCTTGAAGATTTGATATTTAAAAATTATTTTTTGCTTGTTTATATTATAATAGTGGTACGTTTGTCATAAATTCGTTGTGATTTCTTCTGAACCTTTAGTAGATATCGTAAACTTAACACTAATAAACTTAACCACATTTAACAAAGTTGCAAACAACTGCAAAAACGCAACATACAATCAGACAACCCAGAACTTTATACAAACAATAGACGTAGAACAGCAAAGCGAAAGACTAAAAATCAATTAGTCACACAAAACGAGGTCAAAATGGCGAAAATTGATCAAAAAGTTGAAAAATATAAAGTAAGGAATTCACCATAACAGCAGGCGAAAAGTAACGCAACATTAACAATGAAAAAATCAAAATACTTGGAAGAAACTAAAAATTTTCCCAAAACTTTGACTACCTAAAAAAGTTCATGAAGTTCCAAAAACACACACTAAATAACTCACGCCAAATTATAAAACCCAAACAACCATAACTTGTACACACACAAACTCAATCTCACAACTCTCCCCCCCCAAAAAAAAATAAAAAAAAATATATATATAAAATAAACCAAGGACGACATGCTGTACATAATGATAAGTAATGACAAAACTACAATAATTTTTTTGCGTATTATTTACATTATCCTAGAGTTCTAGTGGTACTATCTACTATTGAAAATTTAGTCACAATGGAAGTTATGAGAATAAATGTTTTAAATTTGGTGTTTTTGTGCTGAAGTTTTTTCGACCATAGGACAGTGTTTTTTTATTTGATTTGTTTATTGGAATTGATAACAAAATGTGTGAAGGATTGGTAAATTGTTTCTAGTAAGATTTAAATAGGTGATTGATTATGCAGGGTGGCCAGCTCGTCATGTTAAAAAATTTTTGAGGTAACAGTACATCTAAAGAGGCATAGAATGCCGGAAACCTCTGGTCTTCCTCAATCCGTTCAAAAGGTTACGATTTTTTTTAGTGTTTATGCCAGAAAAACACGTTTATTTAGATAAAATAGGAATTTTCTCCGCTCTAACGTAACTTTTGATCCAATTTTTTGATTTTGTACCAAATTTCCTTTTAGGTTAATTCACTTTTGTTCTAGAAATGGTATGGCTTATATGCAAAATAGCCGCACAAACGTCAATAAATTTGCGAAATACCAATTTGGATCAACGTCTTTAAAGTGTAGCTCTTTTGCATTACATTTTTAAAAATGTCAATACTGCTAGAAACTTCAACATTTTATGAGCTTTCCAGCTGCATATTCGAAACCTCGATTATTTTGATTTTTTGATTGGTAATTGTTGGAAGTTGGGAAACAGTAATCCGGGGTAAAATATCAGGTTAACTTTTTTTAATTATATTAATTAATTATTCTTTTTATCTAAGGTCTTTGTTGAGATGAAAAAGTTAGTGTTACCAATGGAATTCGAACCCACGACCTTCAGTTCAATGCACAGCTCCTCTAACCTTCTCTTTTTTAATGTTTGTGTCACATTATTTTGTTTTTATCAAACTAAAGTAAGGAGTTATTTTTTAACGTGTTAATTTTTATTGGGAAGAACAGTATGTTTCTTTTATTAATAAATTATTTCAGAATGTAGTTACTAATTATTAATTTACATCCCCATTCAATTCTTGGGAGAAGTATTTAATACCCAGGATACGTCCGCGTTTTCCCAACTTCCAACCGAAATTGCCCATCAAAAAATCGAAATAATCTTGCTTTTGAATAGACCGTTAGCAAGCTCATGAATAGTTAAGTTTTTAGGTGGTTTTAGATTTTTAAAAAAGGGACCTAAGGGAGTCGATCCAAAATTACCATTTCAAAAATTTCTTGATTTTTGTAAGTAGACTGGCGATATTTAAAACAAAAGTGAAATAATCTAACAGGAAATTCGGTGCTGACTCTAAAAATGGGGTCAAAAGTTGGGAAAAGTTACGTTAGAGTGGAGAAAATTCAGGTTTTAGGTAAAGAAACGTGTTTTTCTTAAATAAATACTAAAAAAAATCGTAATTTTTCAACGGATTGAGGTAAAACAATGAGGTTTACGGCATTCTACTCCACTTTAGATGTACTGTCACCGAATTCTTTTTTCTTACGACCAGCTGACCACTGTTGTCAAATTATATTTTCTGAGCCAACTTATATAATGTTATTTAAAAAAATATGTTTAATAATAGCTTGTGCTGCTTTTATTCGATGTGGTTTCATTCAAAGAAGAAAATAAATAATAGATGTTTATTATGCAGTTAGGCTTAATTTACTTGTAAACTGACTGAATATTGATGATAAAATCGAACCTTTGGCCTACTCCGAGCAATGCGTTATATTCATTTAGCACTGAAAAAAATAAGAGGGACAGAAACGACTCTGATATTTTGGACTTGTGCCATCCGGCGTGTTTAAGGTGTCCAAAAATCCGTGGAGGCGACGCGGCGGGCTATTGCTAAATCCGCCGGTTTTGTAATTTGAGGGGCGTCGTCCACAAATTTGATTCAAATTGTCTGACCCGGGTGTGCGACACGAGAACGTTGAGGGGGACGATTTTTTGGCACGTGCCGTGACACAAATAAACGTTAATTGTATTAATAAGCCCCGATTGTGCGCCCTGAAACGGCATCCGTCGCTGTTTTTGCAACGTTTCCGCCCCAGGTGACGGAAGGACGGACGGACTTTCGCGAGTTCTCGACTTCTTGAGGGTTCTCGCGAATCCAGCGGCACATGCTGAGTGGAATTCTGCTGAAATCCGATCACCGCACCACTGGCGAATGTCCATCGAGGTGAGTGTGAAAACTAGGTTTATTTTCAACTCCATTTTGTTGTGTTAACTGCGTAGTTTTAAATTTATACACGTGGACGTTGTCACCTATATCGATTTTCAAACACAGAATAAAAGTTCGAATATTTAAATAACCTGTTTAATAAAAAACAAAACAAAAAAACAATGACAATTTTGAGTATTTTCCCCCGACATAATCAAAACAACTTGGGTCCTTTACCTCAATAATAAGGTCACTGTTAATTAACTATCTTATGACATTGTTGTATAATGTAGTTTTTCATTATATATTAAAAAACGTTCAGAGATGAGTTTTAGAAAGAACCCAATTCTTTCCTTTGAAAATATTAGAGTTCCCTTCAGGACTATGAAACTTTAATTAAAAATTTAAAAGTTTAACGTGTATGAACATCATTCAACCTTTTATAACCTTTGTTGACTGAAATTAACTGAGATCGTATAGCGCCAGTTCAAAGGAAACCAGTACATTCTCAATTCTATAAATATATTGCAATGTTTCACACTATAACATCATATATATTTAGAAATATATTTTGTTTAGAATCTTTACTCTACATATAATAATCTCATAATCGACCTATTTTCAACTCATACTTTCTATGTAGACTTTTGAGCCTCTGTTCTCGAGCAATTTCCTCTTTAGAGCAATATGCTCTAATTGCAGGTCACTTTGATGTATCAATGAAAAGAGTTTTAAGCAATAAAGGCCGCCTAGAGATTTAATATAAAGCTTTCCTTCTGTTTTTTATTTTTTATTTATTGTTTTATTTATTATTGGTTATTTTTAAGAACAGTTAGTGTAGGCGAATTAGTAAAAATAAGCTCACTTCTTCGTGGAGCTTGAGGTCAATATATCTAGCTCATCTGGTCTATGAAACTATAAATTCTGATTTAAAAGGTTAAGAAATATGAACATTGAATAGATGGAAAGCAATAGCATTATTAATGTTCATCGGTCTCTTTAACTGGGACCCGGACAGGGAAAATATTCTCTCTAACTCCTTGTGAAAATATTTGACTCGTTGGTCTGCTCGAACTCGTTTTATGGTTGCATGGCCTATTCTTCAGTCCGAAAAACGCTCCTGCAGAGGCTCGGTAGGCTCTGCTGTCAGGGTCTTTGAGCGGTCTCCGACGCGTTTAGAACAAGCCTTTCATGTCAGCTGGGGGTGTTGCAGCCTGAACTTCGGAGAGAGAGAGAGAGAGAGAGAGAGAGAGAGAGAGAGAGAGAGAGAGAGAGAGAGAGANTCGGCGAAGCCTTAGGAAGGGCAGGAATGACACTGGGAATATCACACAAGCTGGATAACCCAGTGACTCCACCATAGGTTCTTCCGGCCGTACATCTTGCCCTATTATTCAAGTCGCCTATTCCGACATAGATTTGCCGAGCTAAACTATCGGTACATAGACTACATAGACCGAGGTTTTCGACTCGTCTTCACGGATGGGTCTAGGACCAGCGGGGGGTGTGTATCGCGAGTCGTGGTAGCGTTTACACAGCAGCATTGTACGCTATTTGGCACGCACTTGAGGTGATTCGAGACAATGGACGCTCTACCTACCTAGTCTGCACCGACTCTCTCAGCAGTTCCTGCTACGTGTGATAGGTTCTCCGTCGACTCTCTCTTTGTGGTCTTGTTGGGGAAATACCATGGAGTGGAGCGTTTCGGCAAAACGGTGATTGTTGACATAGCTCTGAGGGGTACAAAAAGACGGACGAGACCGCTAAAGCCGGGGCGTCCCAACCTCCGGACTTAACCAACGCGATCCTGCCCTCTGTCACTAAAACATTAAAACGTGATTAAAAGAAACTAACAGCACGGTTGGGCAGGATCGGCAGAGAAGCTCTCGCGTACCGAAAGCACTGTCGATATGGCACTTGAAGGATCTGACTCGTCCTGATCTAGAATAAGGGGTAGAAATTTTAGAATAAAATAAGGTAAGTACTTTCTACAGCATTGGAATTTTTTAAAATGGCCAATGAAAAATTGTCCAATAGAGGCTCTCTATGATGGAAATAAAATGGTATTGGTAATGAAAAAGGAAAAAAGAATATAAAAAAAATTTAAAGACATTTTTAGGTTAACATGAGCACATAAATTTAAAAAAGAAAAACTAGTAGTGTTATTTAAAAGCCTTATTGTCTATTTCATTAGGCCACCTTACGCCAATTATTAACTGTTTACCAATTCTTGTAAAAGTTACATTATGGACCTTAAAATAATGTACCTTTATCTTTCCCTCTCTTGTTTACCATAATTACTTTACAGATGATTTAGGCAGTTACATGACATTCTGAAAAGAGTCTAAAGATTAAAGCTGAAATAATCCTAAAATTATGTTTTGTTTACGCCTTATTTTCGAATGTCAAAAGACGATTTCGAAGTGAATTTTGGCATGGAAACTAATTTGGCAACAACATCCTCCTCCCCTCCGACCGAACAACAAGGGTATTCCTGCCTGTGGGGGTAGAGCACTGACATTCAAAAAAGCGTGAACGCCAATTCCCACGAAAGACGCGAGCTTTTTAATTAAAGCATTGAATGAGATCGTCTCAATTGTGCAAATTCCTTTTCTAATTGTGGACAAAGTTCGGGTACCCTGTTAAATCCTCGATCGTCTACCATTTAAAAAAAAAACACTTGTACAATTTTATAATGAAGTATTTCTTTGCTGTATAGTATTATGGTAACTTTTAAAAATTATATTACTTACATGGTATAACTTGTAAGTTGTTTGCACAATGTCCCAATTTTTAAAAAAAGCACCTTTTATTGTCATTTACATAGACAGTCGGATAACCCTTGACATGGTAGAAGATTCCGCTAATCGCATGCATTTTATGGAAAGCCTAGGTTTTTTTTTCAGACGAGGATGTTTGGTTGATTCAACTAAGTTGTCCGGTTGATTCTTAACTAGTTTACTGCCATGTGAAGTCTCTTTCTTTGCTGGTTTCACACCAAGCAACTAGTGGAATCAACTCTCTTCCCAAATGGAGGTCAGTACGATGTTAGAACCCGAGGAAGCAGGAGCACCTTTGGTGCTTGCTTGCTCTTCTGCAAAAAGGGAAGCCAAAAAGGAGGAAACCAGCAAAATAAAGAGTTGGTTTATCCATTGTTATAAACTGGAACGGGTGCTTTCCATCAAATGTACTACCCTTCAAGTTTCGCTTCTTTTAATTTTGTCGCTATAATCCTCACACCTCATGACCCATATCGCGGGTAATACGAATATCTTCAATGAACTGAATATTGAAACTTGCAATTGCAATGCTTTCCATGGTGAACTCAGTTGACTCAACTAGGCAATTTAAAGGCCCGAGCATTGTCTTTTGTGTCAATCAGTGGGGATGAGAACATGAGCGGCACTTATGCCTGCTGGTCACCCGCCTGGGCGGACGAGTTGACTGCGTGTGAAGGGGTTGGGGCGATGCCCAAACATTTTGCAACCTGCTTACACGCCTACGCTATATTTACATCATACATACAGAAGGCAGAAAATGTAAAAGGAAGCAGTTACCGACATCAAACATCCCATAAGTTACTACAAGGTGCCAAAATCACATTTGGTAGGTAACCTGCGACATGTGAGGCTAGGTTGGAAACGCTTTTGTCGAGAAATTCTCCACAACCGTAGGTTATATTTTCAACTTACTTGAAACCAATTATTAACGTGCCATTGAAAACAACGTGCATAATTGAAGCGCTTTCACATTCTACAAGATGAGATTTTCCCAGGCGATGTAAATGAACCGCCAACCTTTGACCAAATTATCTAACGCTGTACATACTATAAAATTGGCAGATTTAAATTGCAAGATACATAATTCTAGAGGGAGGATTACGGCCTCCATTGATGAAAGAATTCATAAGAAATATGTAACTAATTTTATAAACTTTAATACATTATAAAATTCAAAACAATGTCAGACAATAAAATAAAATTAAATTAAAAATTAAAATCAATAATAATAAATTAAAAATAAACAATCTGATTGTATCAATTTAACCACATAGGCCTAACCTTTATGTTAAGTTATTAAGTAATTAATATCGTTAAGTACCTGTTTACTTTACAAGTAATTGTGTCAAATTACACTTAAGTTTAGATATTATATACTCAAAATTACACTGACAGGCAAAACATTCCACCCACTTGTAATATAAATTGATTTGTGTACATTTTTATACATTAATCAAAGTTTCACGTTTTTTAACGTTTAATAATTGAAAATTTAAAAAAGTAAAAAAAAATATAAATTGCCAAGGACAATGAAAAACAGATAAAATTTGTTTTAATTTTGTTTCCGAATTTTAATTAACATTTCAATATCACGTATTTCCTCCTCTTGCTTAAAGGTCTCGAAGACGCCTCGCATACTTTCTACCAGTCTGGAAATGTCTCTTTGCTGGAGGTTAGCTCATTCTTCATAAAGGGTCCTTTCAAGATCGTGGAGTGAATGAGGAAGTGATGGACGTGCTCTTATTCGTCTATTGAGGTTATGCCATAAATGTTCGATGAGGGTTAAGTCGGGAGAACGGGCAGGCCGGGCTAAGTCCCTGACGTTATGCTGTTGAAGGTACGTTTGTGTTATGCGAGCGACATGTGGACGGGCATTATCGTGCATTAGCATAGGATTGTCGCTGATTTCATAGAGGATAGGCAACGCATGATGTTCCAAAATTTCATCCATGTAGCAAGTGACCGTCAAAGCCCACGAACAACAATCAACTCTGTGCGAATCTCCGTTGAAATTCCCGCCCACACCATCACTGAGCTACGTTGGAAATGTTGGCTCTGGGAAAAATTCCAGGCTTCCTACCTTTCATATATACTCTTTCACGCCCATCTGGAGATTGTAGAGCAAATCTACACTCATCTGTGACAGGTACAGCAAACCAATCGTCTAAAGACCAATGGCTGGGCTCTCGAGCAAATGCGAGCCGCCCAACTCCGCGTGCCTGGTCAATTCTGGTCCTCTTAAGGGCCGAAAAGCCATCAGTCCATACTAATTAAATCTTCTTCCAGCAGTGCGTTCAAAAGTTTGGACACTTCGAACTTCCTGGAGCTGACGAATAGCTTGAACAACAGTAAGGTGCCGGTTTCGCCAAATTCTCGAAATCAAAAAACGGGCATCCTGTGGTTCTATTGCCCCAGAGCGTCCAGAACCGGGCTTTCTAGATACCTGGAACGTCCATCATCAATAAGAACCACACCATGCGCAACATCCTCAGCTCTAAGTGGCAATGTTAAGTTTAAAATTGAAATTAAGAAAACAATGATGAAAACTAAATAGTTTATTGCTTCAGTATTCAAATGATACCGAATAAACATTTTAAATCCCGTAAAACGTAAACATTGAAAATTCCTTTATCCTTCTTTTGGATTAAGGATTAAGTGTGTTTACCTATAATTGATATTCCCAATTTAAAACAGCATAAACAATATTTATTTGTAAAAACAATAAGACAAATTAAGGGCAGAATTTTCTTTGATCGAGAAAATGAAAAAAAAAATTAGGTGAAATTTTTTGCCTGTCCTTATATCCTTATATAAATCGTGTAGTTTTAAGAACATCTGCAATGATGTAGAGGGCAGATAGGAAATAAACTCCCTCAGGAAAAAAGGAGCACGTTTGCATAATGCACTTTAGACAGTGTAGAGTACAAATACAATCAAAGTGATTCCTAACATTTTTATGCATACCTACAGCCAAATTCTTCGGTAAATAACAAATGTTAGACGAACAATACAATTGTTGTGAATCAAAACACAAATGTCCCAACAATAGCCCATTTTTTCACTGGAATAAATTAATTCTGTAAATAAGCCAAGCAAACGTCGTAAGAAGAAAGTTAGGTCATGCCTCTACGATCGAGAACGAAAAATTTTTCCATTCGAAAAGGAAAAAAAAATTCGATTTGTAATTAAATGCCTGAAACGTCGCTTGTACAACAATAACGTTTACTCTTGTTACAGATAAAAGGACATGATGGTGTAAAGTGCAGCAGAAAAGGTTTTTGTAACGCCGTTCTGGGGTAAATTTTACAAAATGCTGTCCGTGAAGCACCCCAACGGAGTGGAACTGGGCGCCTCGTTGAGGAGTTTGGAGACGAACACAGCATCAACGTGAGTAAAAAACAATCAACATTTCCTTTTTTATTAAGAGACCAAATATAATAAATTTGAATAACTTTGAAACCTTGAAATTGAAATACCTTCAGCGTATCGTAGAATGAGTTTAACATGGCCACGGAATAATAATAAACTGAGCAAATAAATATTGGCTTTTTTATGAGAAAACTTATAACAATAGCGTTCATTATTAGCGACTTTCCTTTGTTTAATTCGATTTGTGTAACTATATCAAACTGGACCGACAAGATTGGAACTTAAATTGAATTGAACTTTTCAACTGAACAAAACGACATTTTGACCCCCATTGGTTGTAAATAAATAAGTGTTGACATCCTGTAGGGCCTATCTCGAGGAGGCATTTCCTAAACGAATAAGGGGCTAACCGTGAACTTTTTGATAGAACCGCCACGACGAATTGAAAAGAAGGCCAGAGTAACGATCAGTTTGTTTTTTTCAACTGGGGGGCCCTTTAAAGCAGGAAAAAACATATAAAATATAAGTGGTTTTAAATTTTTATTAAATTGACATGCGGATATTTTGCGTCCTGGAATGGTGTGCGTTATAAGATTCCATCCAGGACTGAAGATAGGATTAAGTATATCTTTCGTCTCGAAACCCAGGTGGAAAATATCTTTCCAATCCATATATGTTTAGAGGTCATAATTGACCATATCAATTATTTCAATTAATTATTATTTTTCTCTAAGGTCTTGGTTGAGATGAAAAAGTTAGTGTCATGAGCTGGGTTCGAACCTACGTCCTTCGGCTCACTATCCCGTCACGATGACTCAAGTGGTTAGAGCAGCGGCGTATTGATCCGAAAGTCGTGGGTTCGAGTCCCGCTCGTTACACTAACTTTTTCATCTCAACCAAGACCTTAGAGAAAAACAAAAATTAATTGAAATTTCTTTATAATGGTCAATTAATTTATTTTATGACAATTAAATCAAACTTCAACTTAATTACAATTTGCATGCTGTAATTTTGCACCCCCAAGGATCCAAAATGGTAGATTACTGCCAGGTAAAATTTATTTTCAACAATTATTTGGACAGATTGAAATTAAGACAACTTGGGCTCGCCTGTACAACATTCTGGCGTTGTTGAGACTCGAGGTACGACGGCTTGCCATAATCAGTATTTACCAAGCATATATGATCAATCCTGACAAAACATTAAAATATACCACTTAACCATCTTATTAACTTTTTCGTATTTTTTTAAATTTTAGAAATAAATACCGCAATGAAAAAAACTGTCTTTTTGATACCCAAAATTCCATTGCGTCCTGATACCCAATATATCGTTAGGTTGTTGTGTTTCCCAATATTTTGGAAATTTTGGATACATTCACCGACTAATTTTGTTGTTGTTTTTTTTTCTCATGCTAATGCTTAATAGCCGCTTGGCTGTAAGATCTTATAAGGATTTGTTTTGTCAGTTTAACCTCTTATTCGATTTTCTAAGGCACAAGCGTTGATGGCAGGTATTTCATCTTGAAAGACAGAGGTGTGCCCAGTAATGGATTTGATTGCTCATGTTTTGGGTTTATACAGAAAACGTCTGACCTGGTTCAATCATTTGTTTTGGATCCATCTGTATACCATACCATTGTATCATTAGTAGTAGAATAGCGAGATGAGGCGGACCGGATCTTCACTGCCAGCTTTGGGACTCGCATACCATTTATTTTGCTTATAAGTTATGACGTCAACAAACCGCATATTTTCTTTCGAGGGTTGCGATGTTACGAACGTTTGGTTTGATCACAGACTGACGAACCGAAATAAGCAAGGAGAGGCAAACCAAAAAAGTAACAGTAAAAAGCTATCACAACTTAAATTTTAGTTGAATTTACATAACATTGCTTTTTCAAGTTTAGAAAGTTTTTTGTTGAGGTTGATCGGCTGTGACGGACTAAGGCTAACATATCAAGAAGGATCAAGATCAAAAGAGCAATGATGTTTTATATTTTTCTTCAGTTACAAAACTTTCCAATAAAATTCTTAATGAAAATAACCGAATGCAAATTTCCAAAGAGTTTCATTTTTAATTTATTTTTATAATAGAAGTAGAAAATACTTCAATTCTCACTAACAGAGTTTTTCAAGGTCTGACATAAATTGTTACTTATTCAGAAATCGTGAGATACAGTCTGGTGTGATGTAAGTTTCAGAAAAACATTTTCTTTATCGTGCCAACGTTTCGATCTTTATTGAGATCATCTTCAGGGTCAAAGTGTTTGTTTTCTGGGTAATTGTGCCATTCTTGCGTGTCGTGTTGAGAATGCCCCTTGTTGGGCAAGAATCGTGCCAACGTTTCGATCTTTATTGAGATCATCTTCAGGGTCAAAGTGTTTGTTTTCTGTGTAATTGTGCCATTCTTTCGTGTCGTGTTGAGAATGCCCCTTGTTGGGCAAAAATGGCACAATTGCATAGAAAACAAACACTTTGACTCTGAAGATGATCTCAATAAAGATCGAAACGTTGGCACGATAAAGAAAATGTTTTTCTGAAACCTACATCACACCAGACCGCATCTCACGATTTCTGAATAATCATCTGCTAACGGTCACTAATCACCACACAAATTCTTACATTTTTTTCCAGAAAATTTCAAATTACAAAAGTTAGTTTTGACTGAATTATCATTTGGCGTTTATTTAAAAAAAGCCCTTGTTTTTTTTATCATTATAAATTTTAAAAATTGGAATTGTGTTTTACAGTGAATATATCAAAGACCCTGTTCTGTTTGGAGTAGCAAACAAGCGAACCGTTTTATTTTACGAGAAAAAAAATCTTTTGGCACTGAATCTCTTAGGATTACAATCTATAATAGCAAAATTATATTCTTTTGTTGAAAACGGCCTTCGTGATAATAATCAAATGCAGCCAATTTCTTTGAAGTCAGGTCGCGAAACAAAACGGAAACCCACCTCACGTCGGTTCAAAGTTAAATTCGTTACATGCCCAATTTAAATTATTGTTTAATCGGGCGGAATTCATTCATTACAGTACTAGGTCAAGTTTAATCTCGAACGGCAAGGAGGTTGACCTAAAGATTAACAGAAATTGACGTCCTTCAAACTAGTCCCTTTTCGTTATTAGGGAACATGAGACTATCTGGTCATTTATATCGATACTTAATAAAATTAATAAAATCGTGTCAATAACTGGGTATTTTATAGGACTTTGGCTTATTAAGTTATGTTTTCATTTGTAACAGAACGAAGAATATTATCCATCTAATAACTAATCTTAACTAATCCGTCACTATGTCAATGTTATATTTGTCAGCTAGCCATTAGTATGGGTAGTGCATAATTCTGACCGAGGGTGGTTGCAAAGTAGTTAAATTTTTTTTTAGAGAAACCACGTTTATATTCGTTTTTCTTACCCCAAAAACACCTAAATATAAATTTTATTTTTACAAATTTATTTATTAAAAATGTTTTTATTTTCTTGCTTTACATGGATCGTCTTCTATTTTTGTAACTTTTCGTATAACTAATCCGGCTTATTTCCTTATTCAACATAAGAAAACAAACCTAATGATATATAATAACGTTTAAATATATGCACAACAAAGGCAGAAAGCCAGATTTTAAAATTTTATTTAAATTTAAAAACAAAATTCTATACACGAACTAACCAACTAAGAAACTTTTTTATTTACGTGTGGTGTTTAGTGACCGTTACTTAATTTGGAGGTCGTGAGGTCTGTTGTGACTTAGCTTTTAGAAAAAACCTTTTATTTATGGTGCCAACGTTTCGATCTTTATTGAGATCATCTTCAGGGCTCAAAGTGTTTAATCCATCTCTAACTCAAAGTGTTTGTCTTGTCACGGCTCAACACGACAGACAAGAATGAAGCATCTACACATAAAACAAACACTTTGAGCCCTGAAGATGATCTCAATAAAGATCGAAACGTTGGCACGATAAAGAAAATGTTTTTCTCAAACCTAAGTCACACCAGACCGCATCTCACTACCACCAAATAATCATTTTTTATTTACGTTTGAACTAGTTTACATTGATGCTTATTTTTTTTAAAGGTTTAAACTTAAGGTTAACTTTAAGGTTTAAAATAAGTTCACTAATTTCGTGGTCCGCTTGACCATTTAATTGTTTAAAGTAAGGTTTTTGTTTTTAAAATTTTTAGTTTTTTACACCATAATCAATATCTGTCAATAATATGGATCAAATCACATCTGGGATGTTTGTCTCGCCAAACGCAACGTAAAACGAAACACGTTTGCCATGTCAAATATTTGTCAATAAATATTGTTTATCTATCTATTTCCCTTGACGCTAGTCAAAGTCGTCCTCGGGAACATTTAACAAAATGCAAGATAAACATAAAACTAAAAAAGCCTCCTCTTAGTACGAAAATAAATGAAATTAACAATATTTTAAGGGTTGTCGGTGGCCGCAACGTTTTAGGCGTTGACACGGCGCTCATCACTGTAAGGTAAAGGTCCCAAGATCGAATCCAGCGGCCCTGCATTCGAACCCGACATAATTACAAATGGGCTTTTTTTTCAAAAACACCGGCACCCTGAGGGTTTATACGACCTCTGCTGTTGCGAACCCTCATATAAAATAAAGGAAAATTATTTTAAACAAAAGTAAGGTAATTATTGCCAGGGTTATCTTAAATCAGTCGTATTATTAACGTAGACCTTCTGAAACACAGCTTTGGTATGTTAAATAATTTTTCAAAAAGTTAATTAAAAAGGGAAAAACAATCCTTGTAAGGAAACGTCGAGAGAATCCCTTGTTTGGTGATGGTTTTCACCGTGGTCGATATTCCCACAATTATTGAAGAATTCGCTTTGTTAAAAAATTCCTTCCTCTATAATAATGCGGCGTGAATCATAAACCATTATAATAAATTACTAATCTTGTTACTAATTCATTTTAAACTGTTGGGATGCAAAGGACAAAAGAAAAAAAAATTTCGGGAAAAGGTTTTAAAATCATCCATGTCCGCCTGTTCTCGCTGGTTGGGTCAGCAAAGTATCGGCGTTTTGTCATTTTAGTGAAAATTTGTAAATAGTCCAGGATGTTTGGAAACGGCCAAATTGTATGTTCGCCGTCCCACAGACTTCAATGAAGAATTTATCAATTATTAATAACATAAAAATTCCACGATGCGATTCCACCAGCCTTCTGCTAGGATTGAATGGATACTTTCTTACCCTTGTTTCGCACACATGTTTTTTTCTTCCAGAACGAGTTTGCCACAAGAGGTTCTGGAAAAGTCACGAACCTGCTTGATGGACTTGTAAAAAACATCTAAGTCAGAGGGGTAAAATAAAGTTTAAAGCATTCTCACGAGAAAAGGAAATCAGACTTGCGTCGGACTTCTACTGCTAGTGCAATTTTAAGGGCCTGGAAGGATTTAACATTTATAAACATTATTATAACAAAATAATAAGTTTTCATCTCCCGATTTAAATAATTGAATGAAAAAATTAAGTTTTGTGTAATGGGACGGAATCGGTTAATTGGTGCATTTTTAGAAACAATTCTTACTCCGGACGTCCATGCCTTATATTTTCGAAGATGTTCAAGTGTGAATCCTATACATAAACATGAAATTAAATTGAGCAGAAATGCAGCTCGTGTGTCCGAGAGTTGGAATTTACAATTTGAAAATGAAATTTTTTGAGCGTGACGGCGAATTTGTCCTCGACGGTTAACAAGGTCGAAATAGCTTAAATTAAGCTCAGATATTAACAAAGAAAATTCACTTCAAATTTGAATTATGCTTGGAAGCATTCACCATGCAAATGCATCTTGAAGCATTGACTGAATAATTTTTCATCTTAATTTGCCATGATTGTGAAAAGTAAATGAAGTTCGTAAAGGCAGGAAAAATTTTTTGTTTGCAATATTAATAATAATACCTAATTAGTTTTATTAATTAAAATAATCCTAACAAGGCCGGACCCCCTGGTGGCCAAAAATACTGAACTAGGAGATACAGAACAAGCTAAAAGTCTACAAAGTCGTAATGTATAACATGGATAATGTATACTGGTCACACCACAGCAATGGAAACTGCATTCGACTTTCCACCCTTTATTTTCTAAATGAGGCTTTTAAGAGTGCTAACAGACTCCTGAGATACAAGGAAATAAAGCCTGATCTCAGGAGAAGCCATGACAAAATTTTGGAGAGAGTTAAAATAAATGAGATGATCATAAAAGTACAAAATGTGAGAAAAACTCAACTTTTATAGACCCTTCAAAAGGATCGTAGATAATAGAGATCTTTGAAAGAAAGAATTTTTCAATGGTATGGTACATTGATGGATCAAAGATGGAAGGGAATAAGATGTAGGGGAAAAAGAGCCTAACTATCCAATAATAAAACCCTTCGACTAATCCAACAATTTTCCAAGCTGAGGTCCATGCAATACTGTACACAGTAGTTAATAAACAAAAATAAGAAAGGTGCAAAAATTTACTTATTCTCAAACAGTCGGGCAGTTACAACATCATTAAGGCGTATGCTTTCAGCAATCAAAGCAATCAGCTTCAAAATTGCCTAATGGCTCTAGATAAACACAACAAGATTACTTTAAAGTGGGATATGGGACATAAATGTATAAAAGGAAATTAATAGGTTGATTACCTAAACTAGCTACAAAAAGGCCTTTTTACCCATGGGACCAGAACCACTGGGGGGGGGGACCAATGAACCAAAGAGGCAATGAGGAATATGCTTAAAAAAGTAATCATTGTATATCATTAAAACAAATTAAATTTCAAAACTATTTATAGGTAGAACGATGGATGATTACCCAGTCTCACAAAGACAAATCAATTATACAATTACACCAAGGATATACTTATTCAAGATGCTAAGGCCTTCTCGCATTTGTCTACCTCCTGCAATTATCTTTAACTTTGAAGCTCTCTTTGAAGTTTAACCATTCCACAAATGATTAAAATGTTCTAAGTCAATTAAAATACTCATTCATACTACCAAAGCGATTACCTAATTTGACATGGTCTTTCTATTTAGAAGTAGAACAGTTGTTACAAATGTGTGGTGTTTAGTCACCGTTAGCCAATGATTTGGAGATCGTGAGGTGCATTCTGGTGTGACGTAGGTGTACCTTGAAGATGATCTCAATAAAGATCGAAACGTTGGCACGATAAAGAAAATTTTTTCAAAAACCAACGTCACACCAGACCGCACCTCACAATCTCCAAATAATCAGTTGTTACAAAAATGAATAAATAATGCTATTTTTATGATATTAATACAATAAATTGGTTTTAGGATAGAGCTAACTGGTTACAATTCATCAAAATCAATCGAAGCAGGAGAAGATGATGACATTTCATTTGTTAAACAACACCCAACTTCGTAAGTATTTATAAATACAATTTTGAATTCTTTGAGAACTAATTTATTTCATTTACAGCGATTTAGAAGCGTTTTTGCATGTTGTAAAGAGCAGTTTGGGCACTGGAGTTCTAGCCATAGCAGATGGTTTCAAACATGCAGGAATGGTTATTGGTCTCCTTGGCACCATCATCGTCGGAGTCCTTTGTGCGCATTGTACTTATATTATGGTATTGTTTTTATTCGCTTTATTATATAACATTTGTGCATAAATTTAGCCTATTTTTACCTGATTTATAAAATGTGGACAATTATTGTTCTAGGTTAATTGTTCTCAAGGGATGTGTGAATTGTTAAATAAGCCATTTTTAGGTTATACAGAGACTGTTGAGACTTCACTCCTATATTGTGCGAATAAAAGATTTAGCCATTATGCTGGATTTGTTAAGTCAGTTAATTATAAATAGTCACTTTTTTCATTATAATTTAAATAATTTAAATTTATAGGAAAATAGCAGAAGGATTTATGTTTTTTACATATTATGGGGTTAACACTGTGTACATATTGCTTGTCGCAGAGACACTTAGTGAAGTAATTAAGTTTTTTATGTCTTAAATTGTATAAAGGATTTTTTTTTTCAATGAATAAAAAATTGTTTCAGATAATGGAACACCACTACCAGCTACATTTCAACATCAGGGTTTACATATTAATGACTGCTGTTCCGGTTTTTCTAGTTGGAATTGTCAGAAATATGAAGTACCTTGTGCCATTTTCAGCAGTAGCAAACGTTCTGCTTTTCACTGGTTTATGTCTGACATTTTATTTCCTATTTCAAGACTTGCCTGAAGTCTCGAGCAGGCCAAATTTTGCACCAATTAGTAAGCTGCCCTTGTTCTTTTCAACAGTGCTGTTCGGAATGGAAGGCATCGGCACAGTAAGTTGCAAATGGTAAATTAAAGACTTTTTCAATTCAAACGCAATATTTAGATGCTGCCGATTGAAAACTCAATGAAAAAGCCACAACATTTCTTGGGGTGTCCAGGGGTGCTGACTGTGGCCATGTCCGTTGTAGTAACCATGTTTATGATGGTTGGATTCTTTGGATTCCTTAAATATGGCGATGATGCTAAAGGAAGCATAACCCTCAATCTGCCAGAAGATGGGTATGTAAACATTTGTTATAAAAATGTTACTGCCTCTTTTTAATTACAGTTTGTAGTCATCATTATGAAAAGTTATTTTTCAAATTTAAACTAATAAGTGGCATAAATCTCCGGTTACAAGTTTAAAATGTATGTGTGGTGATTTTTTAAAATGTATATTATATAAAAATTTTCACTGAAGATGGCGCAAAGCTGAAACGATTTGAGTAACATCACACTCTGTGCCAGTTCAAAACTGTATGTCACACTCCATCGACCTTTAAGAATAAATTAAATATTAAAGTAATATTGAGTCATATCCTATCAACTTCAAATAAAAATAATAATGAATGAAAGATTTAACAGATAAAATGATGACTTACAAAATGATGAGAAGGTTAAATATACTATTTTAAACAGTTGTTCTTTACTGTTGCGAATTGATCATTAATTTCAGATTGGCAGAGGCAGTTAAGGCTTTAGTGGCGCTTGCAAATCTTTTTTCATATGGACTGCAGTTAACCGCATCCATGGATGTTGTCTGGAAAAGAGTCGAATGTAGGTTTCCAGAAGAGAGCCAAGGCAAAGCGTACTACATCGTCCGCACCTTGATGATATTCGGGACTAGTAAGTTGCTCGTGATCCTTCATAAAAATCATTCCTTTAATACATTTCTATTTTCAGTTCTATTGGCAATAGCTGTTCCAAATCTTGCTCCTGTCATCTCGCTTATTGGCGCAGTTGGTTTTTCAATGTGCGGCTTCTTCTTCCCGGCCCTAGTCGAAACTATAATGCTCTGGGAAGCTGGATTTGGCCGATTTCACTGGAAGCTCTGGAAAAACATCATGCTCGTACTAGTCACCATCGTAGCAGTCATCTCCGGGAGTTTCACCTCAATAATAGACATAATAGACCAATATTCATAACCATCGTTGTTCCCTTTTAAACCAATTGCACTGTATAATACAATAGTTTGTATTATTTACAAATTATGGATATTTAGATAGTTCTGTTCAAAGAACAATTATAATTATTGATAACTTTGTTATTTTGTAAATAAAATTTATTTACTTGTAAGACGTTTGTTAAATTAAATAATAAAGTTATAAGAATGTTATATAAATATCAGTATTAAAGTTTATACAGCCAGCCTGATTATTATTCTTAATACAAATCAAAATAGTAATTTCACGCACATTTAAAACAAATTTACCAATTTCTTTGGACATGTAGTGTTTTCCAACATTAGTTTTTCAATATTAATTTAAGTATCCAGGAAAAAAACGATTAGGGTACATGTTTTTATCATTTTGAAATTTATGCACCTTCTTTAGCGTGAAGGATGCAGTTAATAAATATCTATTTAAAAATGGGAAGAACACTATGATTCAATTAGGTAACAATTTTGGTGTTAATTAATTAAGGTTTTTAGTTGAGATTAAAAAAGTCAGTGTCACGAGCGGGATTCGAACCCACGATCTTCGGCTAGATATCGAACCACTCGGACACTAACTTTCTATCTCAACCTACCTTTCGAATTTTCGCTCCTTTTTGCCATTTTTCAATTCAAAAAATTCAAACAATAAAAATTACGATAAGACTTTACTCACAATCCACATTCAGGTGAGATATGAAATATTAATTTTTAAATGTAGGAGAGACTAAAAATTAAAAGCCCGTATTCACGTGGTCGACCCAAGAAGAAAAGAGAGAGAATCCTTTTTTCATCCGAGAGGTTTTTTCCCGCGAAAACTCTCTATCTTTTTGTGGCGCCCTCTTTCAGTCTGGCGCCCTTTTCCAAAACTCTCCAATATATACTATATGTTATACCTGTAAAATTTAAACCATTAGACCTACATCATTTTTCCCTTGGACCCATCAATTATGAAAGACTAAAATACATATCTATTTAAAAATTCAAAGCTATTTTCTGATGTGAGCATTGGTGATGACTTTAAGCTTGTTGTGAATTGTTGTTCGTCCGGTGTCTGAAGAAACTTTTCAAAGGATTAAGAAGAAAAAGGCAGGTATAGATGGCAGGCAAAGAGCATTTCACCACAGCATAACTTTCTTATGTTCTTCTTAAAGCAGTGATTTTAGTAAAACGTAGTTGGCAATTCCTGTCATTAGTTAAACAAATAAAGTAAAACGGTTTTGAAAAATGAAAGGTACAACAATTTGGGTAATATGAATTTGAGAATAATTAAAACCTATAATGGTTAACATTTATTTGAAAATGTAATTTTATAATGTTATTTACATAATTTAGGTGTAAAGCAAAATGAAATAGTTACAAATGATTTTCTTCTTGAGAGAGTATAACTTATATTTATTATATATACAAAATTATTGTTAGAAGCTGTCAGACATTAAATATCGCATTCATCTAACAATTCTTCAAACTACTGTTCTTTATTTTTACTTTTTCTTCTTCTTTTCTTGTTTAAACCAATATTGTAAAAATTTCCAAGCAATGTACAAATGTTTATTTACAAAATGTTGTAATGTTTTATAATTTTTGTAAAACTAAGACATATACTTTTTTTTCTAAAATTTAATACTTATGCTTGGAAGTAGGGAGGTGGTATTTTTTTGGCTCAGTACCCTAGAAACACTTAAAATTACTATTTACAACAATGTCAATAACTGCGGGAAATAAAACACAAACAAAAAACACTGATTTATCACTCCATAATCTTTGTGTTTGAGAGAAAAAAATAACTATCACAAATATATATGCATATATATCCACAATAACAACTGTACAGAGGTAACTCAAAGGTAGACTTTAGTTCCAGGGGTGAATGAAGCTTGGAGGATTCTGCTATCAGCTGTTTGGTGCTTTGATGGCAGTTTGTTGTTGCGACATGTTGTTGTTGAGGTCGCCTGAGCCTATACTCCTTACTTGCGCAGGCGGCAGAGAAGGCGACTGGAAAACAAAACATATTGACAACAAACAAGACAGAATCAAAATGTTGAATAATTTAATAACAATATAACCGTGTCAATTTTTAATTAAAATTTATCATGACTTTTCCCTTACAGGTATTTGACCGTTGGCCTGCCGTTTGAGTTGAGCCAGTTGGTTGGGGTTGTAGGCCATGTTGGCGAACACAAGCCTTTCCTCGTAGTCGTATTCACATAAGATTTTATTATCGCACAAGTAGAATCGATCACCGACACAAAATCTGAAAAAGAAAAAGATTCAAATGAAATTACAGCTCAAGGAAAATAAAGTGGTATTGCATTTAGGTCATTTCCAGTACAATTCACAGTCATATGATCAAGAGGTTGTCTTCAATCACACAATATTTTTATTTGTATTTGTATTTACAAATGATTTTATTTAATTTATAATAAATGAAGATTTAATAAATAACACAACAATTTACACAATTTATAAACAAATACAGTAAAATATACAATTTGCTCTCCTAAATATAGTAAAATCAGACGTTTTTATGAAATAAATGGCATTGATAAGAATCATGAAGGTTGGGTGAGTATGTATTCACTTTTTTTTTTTTTTTTTTTTAAATTATGATCCTAATCACAGATTTGTTCTTTACAACTATACATGACTTGTCGTGTGACACCCACCCGTAACGTCACAGTGCCGTGACCGGCATTTTGGTCATATTCGTCCGGCGCGCGACCGTGGCCGTGCCAACGGTGAACAGTGTTGTCGTTGTCACCGGACCGTGAATGTGGGATTTCTCTTTGACGACATTTTACAGTTTTCACGGCCGTACAACATGAAGGTAAACTCATTGTGTTTAACCACGGGAGAGAGCCAGACTCAGAATTGAAATAATCAGTGAATATTTCTCGTACACGAAATACATCTGTCGTTACGTTTCCTCCCCGTAAATGTAAATTTTGTATTGTTCGACTTTCACTCCCCGATCCGCTTGGGAAGTAACGTAATTAATTATACGTGCATATATCGTATTTCTTAATGTATTAAAAAGTTTAAGTCTTAAGTTATGCAGCAAGTAAAATTTTGTTTCATCGTCCACTAATTACTTACATTTTTTGCTTGTGTTTCTCACACTAAACATAATCTAAAGTTCATCATCAGAAAACATGCCATTTTGGCCACTCAAGCCCTCACGGATGAAACACTGACCGTACAGAGGCCCTATATGATCACATTGGCCGGGAATAAGGGCGGTCGCGTCACTGTCACGTCACTGATATGTGTGAATCAGCCAATAGTGAACCCGCCGATCCCTGCCAATGAGAAACCTTTTTCTATGCCGCTCAATTTTGAAGGTACATGTTTAAAATAGGAGGTAATCAAAAATCTATTATATTATTTATACATTTATCTCCATGTTAATAATTTTACATTTTTTATTTCAAATTTCGCAAACCAATCTAGTTCCCTCCCTTTATTGACACTGTGTAACAGTTGTATTTAAATTTAAATTGAACTTGGGTTTTGTTTAATTTAAATGGGCATTTAATTCAGAAAATGTGTTCGATTTAGGCAAGTGTTTTTTAATTCTCGTTTTAATTTCTCTGCTGCTTTATCCTATATGTTCAATATCACAATTATTACTTATTACTTCTACTTTACCAATCCAAATCCAATCGTTTATATAAAAATAATTTAAGTAGGTACTGATTACCTGTAGCCAGACAATACCGAATATAATTAATTTTTGAACAATCTATGTAATTTTCCACGTTTGCCAAATTGAAAAGCGAAACTTTTTGAATAATTTTCTATTTGAAATCTGGAAAAAGCTGAACTTTATGTACTTTTTCTTATTGAACGTGGATTTGTGATTACTTTCTGATCCGTCTCTTGAAATCTTCAAGCTCGGCCATATTCACCTCGTCTAATCAGGAAAGGGTTCAATAAAGATTCTAGTCCTTTTGTTTTCTTTTAGATTATTAAGAAGATAATCAGAGCTTTCTTCGATAGGGTTTCTCCTGCCTTGGTCTCTAGGGTTTCTTGTCCTCGAAATAATCCTCCTTAGGAACTATTCAGAGTATACGCTCGAAAATGTCACTGGTAAATATTATAACAATTGCTGATAATGTTTTACGCAATGTTGGCAATTGTGGCTCTATATGTAGATTTTTGGAGAAACTCATACTCGAAAATTAAGATCTAGTGTTTTGATTTTTTTTTTTTTGTGTTTGTGCAAAACTTTTTATTTTCAGTAATGTCAAGGGTGAAGAAGGGAAATTGGCCTTTTGAAGGATAGTGGGTTGGATAAAGAATAGAATGATAACAGAGGCTGGTGAATGTGTGTCGGCTGTATGTGACGGAGTGTAGTATCCACAGGGGAAAGTGCGAGGAGTGGGTGGCGTGTAATACAAGGGATATCGGGTGCCGAACTGCCTGGTTTTCAATTTGAAGGGTAGCGGGCACTTTCCCAGTGTCAGGACGGGACTTTTCCTTGAAGGGGGTGGAGGGTGCATGTATATTTCAGGGCTGAAGGAGATTGTTTCTCTCGGAATAAGAATATCTGAGGACTGACAAAAGTGATATTAAACATGACCGGGGCCCGGGGTTTTACCGTTCTCCTGGGAAATCACTCCAGGCCGAAGGGGACACCCGGAGGGAAGTGTCCGGCCCTCTCATTACCTACGCCTCCACGCGCGCCCTCGCGGACCCACACACACAAATACGACCTTTTTAATATTCTCCTGATCCCTTCAAATACCTACTTCTTGGTGAAAAATCACTTCTGATTCCCTGATCATATTAAGGCCTTTCAACGATTCTGGAAACGTTTTGGACCCAAGCGGTCCTCCACGGCACGAAATGAAAGATGTGCGTGAAGCCCTTATTACTTGATTATTTATTTTCATCCACAACCCGTAAACAATGAGATTTACCAAAACGAAAATACATATTTTTTAAACCTCCTTAACATAAAGTATGAAATTTTCCACAATTTCACTCCCACGATGTCCCATTTTACAACCGTTGTCGTGAAAATAAACGTGTGTCAAGAAATTATATTTGTTCGCTAAACTAATTGAACCATGGACTTTAATTAACTAACATAAAATATTTTTCATATATTTGGACGAATTCTTTAGCTGTATGACTTCGTACCTACAGTCTGAAGAACATGTTCCAAATTCAATTTATGAGATGTGGAGGTGAGCGGGTTGATGAACTTGTAGTTTATGTCAGACGATTATGCGTTATTGTATTCAGCCGAGTTTGATAACACGTAATGGTCGGCATGCAAGATCAAACATTTGGATCAAACAAGTGTATTTGCGCACACCCACGGATTGACAAGTTGCACACATAGATTGTTCAAATCTGTCAGAAGCGAAATTACTTGCGTAAACACGCTTCCTTTGCAATCGGGTTTGTACCATAGTGGTTTTGACCCAGAAAAGCCATTTCAATGAATATTGTGATAATTTCTAACGGCTTACAATTTTCCTTTATCCATTCGAACATTTTGTAATCTACTGCTAAACCTATTTCGTTCTCTGCTATATATGCCCATAGGTCCACCAGGCGTTTACTGTTGGGTTATATGCCACTTATTAGCTCTTATTAGCTTTAATTAGCCTCAATTATCGTGATCTCGAAATGCAACAAACTACTGCACAACGTCTCGTCCTGTATGTCTCCTCGCCTCATGGGGAAGATCCTTGCAAAACTCCTCATGCAACGTCTTTATCCCATACTTAATTCCCTTCGAATAAACCCTGATCAGCAATTTGTTTTCCGACAGCACTTTACATTTTAACAATGCCACCGTGGTGTAGACCCGGCTGTCTTTCTAGATCGGGTCTGGCATGCTGGGTTGCTGGGTAAATTCAAAGCTATCCTCCCTACTAGCTACAACCTTTTCCTAAAGTGCTACCTTACCGACTGTTAATTTAGGGTAACGTACGATTCTTCCCATTCGCACATCCGTCCTGTCTGTGCAGGAGTCCCCCAAGGTAGTGTGCTTGGCCCAATCCTTTATGTTATAATGTATACAGCTGACGAACCTAATCACCCAAATACTTCCTTTTTCACATTTTGAGATGGCAATCCTGTCTGCTCACAATGACCCTTGGCTTAAAAAGTGGAGAATAAAAATAAATGAAATTAAATGCCAGTATATTAATTTCACATTACGGCGAGCAATCCTTCCTCCTGTATACCTCAACCGTATACCTCTACCCACGTGAAACTTTGCGCGCTAATTACGACTATACATCGACAAACGCCTCACTTGGGATCCGCATACTAGACTTAAACGATAAGCACTCAACACACGAAACTTCTTTCTCGACTTTTATACGGACAATCCAAACAATCCCTAAACAGTAAAAATTACATCTACAATACTCAAACCGACATGGACTTACTGTATTGAAATATAAGGCTCACACACAGAACTTCCTAATCCCTTAGTAACTTAACTTTCCTCTACCACACGTCCCGATACTGCACACTGTCGACTGAAACGCCGATGGCCTCGTGATCTTAACTGGAGGATTAGCGAGTGACAAGTGTTTAACTTTGGTTTATCAACATCGGAGTGTCACTACTGAGTGACTTATCCGATCATGAAAATACAAGACAGTAATTCTTTTTCAACATTTTATTTGCTGGTTGTAGTTAATTCTACTGTTGTATTTAATTCTTCAGTTGTAAATTTCAATAAAACGAAAAATAACTGTAGGGTTAAAGAAACAATTATCACGACGTAAAGAATAACATAAAATAATACTAATTCAGATATCGTGAGATGCGGTCGGGTGTGATGTAGGTTTCAGAAAAACATTTTCTTTATCGTACCAACGTTTCGATCTTTTATTGAGATCATCTTCAGGGCTCAAAGTGTTTGTTTTCTGTGTAATTGTGCCATTCTTGCGTGTCGTGTTGAGATTGCCCCTTGTTGGGCAAAAATGGCACAATTACATAGAAAACAAACACTTTGACTCTGAAGATGATCTCAATAAAGATCGAAACGTTGGCACGATAAAAAAAAATGTTTTTCTGAAACCTACATCACACCCGACCGCATCACACGATATCTGAATTACTATCGATTAACGGTCACTAATCTCTACACATAAAATAATACAATAATAAAACATCCGAGAATTTTGTGGTTATTGTTTGTGCGTTAGTGTTTTGATGTGTTTTTAATTATATACATTAATAAGTTAACTTTTGTTTTAATGAATTACTATGTAGTTTGGTTGT